AAGTTAGATAGACTAAGTGCGAAAGACGATCGAAGTGTTCAATTACTAGTTTGTACTGACGCTACAGCTTACAGAACATGAGTATACCTCGGCGACTATGAGGAGTTACCTGCACTAGGTAGTGACTCCCACCTATCGTTTGTGAGCTAATGATACTACCTAACTGCCTAAACTTCTGCACATAGAATATTATACTAGCCCGTAACCCGCTAGTCGAAATTCGACTGTCTAGATCAATGCACGGCAACACCACAGTTATGGAAGCTAGTAAAAACGTGAAATGAAACGAAGCAGTGGGACCTGAAGCACAGAGTTCAGAAGTATTTCAGGATATGCAAAAGTAATCCTTCAAGATTGGTGTCGGTTGTTGAGTATTGCAGCTCGAAAGAAAAAAGAATAATCCTAAAAATAGTTTCTAAGGGTTTAGGGATCTTAGTTATTTGACACCAAAATGGAACTCAGGGACATCAAACCTCGGAAAAACAGGCAGGTCTCATATCTATACAAGGGCGTTATGATTTAGTTCCCACTCCTCGTCAGACTCTGGAACACAAGTATACTCACTGTTGTACGATACCAGCAAAATGTCTTGACCTAAAGCCATCATTGGAATCAATTTTTGGGAAGCCTTTTGATTTTAAGGGGAATGCAGTTTAGGTACGCAAATTAAAAATCACTTAAAGGTTTATTATAAACCCATCAGTGTCGATCGAGGATAACAACAATCTACATTCCAGTCTAACTTAGTTACAGTTGAATTAAAAATAATTCCGCCGCTCAGTGCTTATGACAGATTTATACAAAGATCCGTCAACAGACCTTAAGCACTCAGAAAATATCGTTAATTAAGGACGGTGATAGGATAGAGGCTTTTGAGTATAGATTGAAAATCTAAAATTATTCGACAACAAAGTCACATCTGAGATGATGATACTAGTTCAGGTATTTTCCATCCTCGTACTGCTGTGGAATACAACAGCTACAACCAATAGGCATTTGTACGAAGTTTAATATTGATGTTTATCTTCGCCTAATGACTCGATTCTAAACTTTCTAGTATGACACAGATTGAGAGACTGACATTTTGTGGGAGAAAAGTTAAACAACTTTCCACTGAGCAAGCAAAATATCAGTTAAACATGCAACCATGAAAATTCGGCATACGAAAAAAACATTATCAGGTGTGAAGGTGGATCGCTTCAGAAAGTCAAACAACTCAATATTCAGATTAGAAAATGGAAGTCGAAACCCACCCAGAAACCAAGTGCGCGTTAATGCAGTAGGCAATGAGGCACTCTGGATTACTGCTACGAATAACCTAAAAATGACTTCTCAAAAACACAAAGCTGCAAAACTGGAGCTGTGGCTCACTGACTTAGGCAGTTGATTTTCAATCAGTGGGCCATGGGTTCGAACTTTACTCCGTCTATCGAGGTTTCGGCAGTTAGGTAGTAATCATCAGCCCTACCAGACTACCAGCACGAACATGCATCTGGCTGCAGAAACATGATCTTTAACTAAATCTAGATGATCTTAATCACCGAAACGTTTACGAAAGCCTGTGATGACTTCTGATGACCGACAAAACATAACTAAAGAGAAAGGCTTTCCTCGCGAGTTGTGCAACATTTTCACACAAGTGATAGATTGAATGCAACTGCCGTGTGATAAAATTAGAGCAATGCCCCCAGAACCTACGCTATTCAACAAGTTGCGATATTTCGATGAATCGTTAGGACGACGCTGGTAGAATCGGTTCACACAACTTCAAAACAAATGTAGTTTTCCAATTAACCGAGTCATCTTTCTACAACGCGAACAAGTGCGAAGTAAAGAAATGAAGACATTAGGTGAAAAAGGAACAAACCTAGCGAATAAATGCTTTTCTCTGTAGTTGCCTGTAAGTTTTCTACTGCTACTAAAAACACAAACTTCGTTCTTGGTACAACTTCGCTAGATATATCAATTGATATAATTCTATTTACCCTCGACTTTACAAGGATCGCTCACGTGGTTGACTTGGAGTACGCAGATTATAGTCCTGTTAGATGAAGACGTCGGAAAAGTGCAGGGTCTTCTGAACACCTTAAGCAGAAATCTGAGTAAGGGATATGGTGCTAGGTGGTGGAATACGTTGACTATTTCATTTCATTTCATTTGCATCAGCCCAAATGGGTTGGTTGCCAATAAAATCTTAGCTCGGTAAAAGGCCAGTTTAGTACTCGCTAACTTGCGTCATATAGCTTCAGCGACATATCAGATTACCTATCAAACGACGAGTATGCTGTGCAGCAATCTGGTATGCTCTATAGTACGGCTGTAAGCTGCTGAAAGTAGAAATGAAGTGACCACACGTCTTTGATGATCACAAAAATCTTCGTAGCAGTGCTCATGTGTGATGGGATCGTTTCAGCAATCCTGAGTTTCAGCGAAACAAGCAAGTCAGTCGATGAGGCTGCGAACTTTTACCAACTGGGGTGGCTTGGACATCTGTTGTGCATGCTGAGCCAATGCCTATCTCGACGTTCAATGTTAACCGAAACAGGATTGAGTTGAAGAAGGCTAACAGTAGCCGAAAAGAGACTTCATAAAAGTTTATAGAGCCCCTAACTACTGGTCTGAATTATGTAGAGAGGTACATAATACCTGAGTTCCTTGGGATAACAGAAACCAATGGAGACTCTTGATGACACGGCTGACACGTCAAAAAGTAAATACATCTGCACCACTATGACCGATTTTAAGCCATGCCACCAAGAGTCCTCAACCACTGATTCTTTTCATCTTGAGGACCCCAGCCAGGCAGTCTATATCTCCCAACATGGCTCAAACTAACAGCTAGAGACTTCATGGACTGGTGTAACGTCTTGATCTGGTAACCCTGAACAATTTTCAAACCTAATCCAACTTTCCCTAGCTTGGTGCGTCGAGGTAGGTAGTGGTTCGACATGTGTAGTACGTGTGCAAGCCATCTCAACTGACTAAGGTTCACAACCCCATCGGTAGACTTGCCTGCCTTACTTAGTACCTTTCGTTGACCACGATATTGCTAATACTGAGATATCACCAAATGCGAGCAATGGTGTGAGGACATCTACGATCGAAAACTTGCAGCCCCTCCATATCTCTCACTTCTAACGGCGATGCTCATAGTCACCAGTAGAGTAGTCCCAAAGATAAATCACACGAAGAGTTCATTAACTTCATTTCTCAATAACAGTTGATGGATACTAGAAATTCCACACAAACAACCGTAATGAAAAGTGAACCCCAGTACATCCACAGCTTTGCAACTCTAGAGAATAAGTTTCTGCATCGACGCAATATATACCCAACCTTCTACGAGAAGGCTAACCACAAGAGCGCAAAAGGTGACCAGGCGCATTTCGTCACAGCTGTGAACCTATGATTAGAAATATAACCAAATCACCACCAGCACTTGAAAATAACACATAAATACATACCTTACAAGATTCTGACGGTCCACTGACAAGGCAGACAACAGGCTGCAGAAAGTCCTAACAAATCTTAACAATCTGCCCAATGTATATAAGCATATTGTTCATAGTATCAACAGAACATTTCATGATGCCACTTAGAAAATTATTAACACCTGTTTATTTCGCAACAGATGAAAACAAAGTTACGTATTAAGGAACTGTAAACAGTACAACTGAATAGTTAGGTAGGCACTCAAAATACTAGCTTTGCTACACGATTTAAAAATAATGAAACAAGCGATCGAAACCCACCACATCAGCCCTGTCGTCTAGCCAGTTAGTCGAAGAGCATCAGCACTCAGCAAATATACTATCCCTACATAGCTATACCTCTGCATTCCCTCTCCTCCTAGCACTCATGGGTCTTCCACGAGTGGGAAAAATTAATGATTAGTGTCTGCATCTATGAAGACTGCGTAAGGACAATTCCTTAAAAGTCATTTCTGCAACATAGGGTAGTGAATGATAAGTAAAACCTGGATTTATCAGCACATCTTCAGGTTGTCAACAAATAGAATGATGTTACGTTGTTCTCTAACATATTCTTAAAGGTAATATGTTGGCCGTAGCAAAACATTTCAGATGAGACATATAGCAACAATAACTACCTCACTCAAACAACCTGAATTTTCTCACGCTTGCTTGTGTTTTCCAGAGGTCTTAGGCTCCATGTGCATGAACACACACGTGCTCCATGTCTACGACTTGAAAGAAACCAGACCACCTGCCCATGAATCAGCTAATGGCAAAATCCGCAGAAGTGAAAAATGATAGTAGTTAATATCTTAAATATTAGTTGTAACAGACTGATAAATCGATGACTGACAAATAAGTCAAAAAAACAAGTTTAGAAGACGGATGCAACAAGTCTCAGATCATAGATATTCAAAACCCTCAGTCTTCAATTCGTTTGCAAACAATACGATCACTTCTATGACAAAGGACACAACTACATGGCTGAGAAAAGAAAGTGGCAAAATTATTTGGCCGCGTGCCTGTTGATGTCGAAGTAATTCAAGTTCCGCCTACAAATTCACCTCATTAAGTGGGAAGACATTGAATCAGTATGGGGTAAAACGAAACAGATTCCACGTTGCTGCAAGAGTTTGGTGAAAGGTGTCATTAAAAGTTATACTTAAGTGAATTCATATCAATGCAAAAGATACTACGTGGGATATGAAATCCTGGAGCGGAATTCAGAGTAAAAAAGTAGAAATGACTGAACGACTAATGACATCAAACCCCATCTCATTCTGCTGTTTGGACAGATAAATAGCGTTATAAGCCCTCAAAAAACACATGTGGCCCTTTGCCCACTGCACGGACGTGCACGTGGCTGCTGAAGTGCATTTCACTTCATGAACCCAGAAGTAAGCTATATTTAAACCAATTCAAAGACTAGCGTGACCACTGTCCCAGCTTACACATCTAGAAATATTTCCTGCAGAACATGGTTGTGTCACTTTGAAATGTAAGGTTTGTGAAAATAAATTTACTCACTTGAGAAGATGTGAAATGGTCGAATAAAGTAGCCACTATACAATCCTCGAAATCCTTCTTCTCTGATAACAGAAGAAATAGCGTGCATAAGACCACGATAGACCTGAGCACCCTCTTGCAGTTGGAGTCTCGTGCGAAGTAATACAAATGGATAAAGTACAGTTTGTGCAGTGAAATTCCCCAAACCGGAGAGTGGAAAAAATATGTGCTTCTTCAGCATCGACAACTCTATTACTTCAAACTTCCCTCGATCATCAGACATTATAAACTAGGCAAATTTAAAATAGATCCAGAAGCTTAGCATCTCAAAATGAAGCTAAAGACAAGATAAAAACTACCCTTGGACTACCTGAAATCAGGTCATCAAGTGAAGAAAGCGATCTCCCAAACTGGGTGCATAATCTGCAAAATAGGAAAACGAAAAACAACTAGGTAATCACGTTCACACCTGTAAACATCATTGGTGAAGTTAGACACTAGGGGTTCAAGTGAAAATCACCCCCACATATTCCCTCTGTAATATATGCTTTTCAAACTAAAATCATCAAATTTTATCTCCGTATACTATATACAATACAGGTTTTCTTGTCAGGAGCTGAAAATTGAAGTGGTAAAACTGAAAAATCATCTTTCTTCTGAACTCTCGAACTACTGGCTACTTTTAAGTATTCCAAGTTAAAGGGGATAAGCTACGGATCTGCAACTCAGGGATCACGTGTAGCTTAGTGCACAACAGAGACACACAACATCTAAGGGCTAGTGGTACTACCTGTCTAACCAAGTCTTCCTTGGTGAGGGCTCAAACGCGTGACTTGCAGGTTGGAATTCCAATGTATAAAAACAATTAAAAAGGAATCTCATGTGCGAAATCCGCTATATACATATCTAGGTATAGACATACCGACAGCCAGTGGCCGAAATTACATCCTACTTTCGTATACTGTTTATAAATCATCGGTAATAGCTATGAATAAGACAGTGATAAAGCCGTTGCAAGTTATCTATCATCTCAGTTTATCAAATCAACTGTTTTGGCTAGTTGAGAGGGGCTGACTCCTCGAACACATCAAAAATGAGATAGATGAATAGAACAAGTGTTGAATGGTAAATTTAAGTTCTCTACTTCCTACTGGAAACCCGATATCAGGTGGGATCATATGGGGAATTTAAAGAAAGGTAGATCTAATGGTGGGATGATGGAGAAATGCAGTATCCTTTACCTTCTCAGCTTCAAATTGATATTATCGCTCCAGTAACCCGGCCATCTTTCCAAGATCAGTCATACAAGAATGGTACAGGACCAATATACAGCCACGTTTAACCGCAGTATAGTCACACGATAGGCTGATATCAGCCTGAAGAATTTCTGCAATTATGCTGTCAATACTTCCGGCAAATCAGTCCTGTGCTAAGCAATCCCAGAAGCCCAACATAAATACTGCAATATTAAAACTCGTTTACACCCATGATCATGAAGTCTTCATAGATTTTCGAGAGGGATATGGAAGCGAACGATGTCAGCATACAGTTGCGAGTGGAGCCGACTGACTTGATCACTACTAACCATCTTACAATCATCAATCGTAATTAGCCGACAAGATGCTACTGGTCAACTGTTAATCAAGTGGTTAACAGATGCTGATGACCATTATATTTTCCACCAAAAAACACCTCTTTTTGAATGGGTACGTTAAAATTAAAGTACAAATACATTTTTTAGTTTGGTGTCTGTACAGGAGTTGAAATCGACAGGTGTTCGTACTAGCCGGTTGAGCAGCATCACCCCTTTTCACTAGTTGTGCTACATGCCTCTTGAAATTTCGCTGTGTTATCTGGTAAATAGAGTATTCATCTAACGATACTGGAAGCCCATAATTAGTGCCAAAATAAAATTCATATTGTGTAAGTCCTAGGTCTACAATCCGGTTCAATCGCGGCCCCGAATCTGGAGGATAACCTAACATTGTCCTTGCGCCTGGGAATTTGAACCTGGATTGGGCCAGTCTCCATAGATGATAGCACTGGGTAGCTAACCGATTGGCGGACGTGCACCTACTGACCAAATTGTGCCACATTTAGGCGTGAAACTGAAAATAGGACGTGGTGTAATGGAAAAAGTTGCCGCATTCACCCCACCCCTATGGCAATGAAGTACCTCAGTGAACCATAAAGCGCGCCTACTTTTGCAAAATGTAACCTCGGTCTTCAGAAATTAGTGAGATGGTCTAATTTGGCTAATATTGATCACTTCAATAAGTTCCACCGTGGAGATTCTGTTCCCCTTTGAATGCACTCACCAAAGGTACTGATGTTACTTGCTGTGACGTCCCAGTCCTCGACAGTCCTCGAGAGAAGCATAGGTTCACGTTGAGCACCGTGGTTTTGGACTTTCTTGTGGTAACATCAGAGGCATTTGAGCGTCGGGGGACAAAACCTGGGTACACTGATCCTCAGATCACCGGTGAGGATACGAAGTGCAAAATATGGGTCGCGGATCCTCCTAAGAGTAGAATCGCCCAGATGCAGTATTCCAGGTGAGGTCGCAAATATATGAGACACAACATCACGGGAGCATTCGAAAGTTCTGCGAACAGACAGCTGTATGTTAAACCATTTCGCTGTGGCTGGAGGTCTGCCACTGACACATAAATTAGTGCAAACTGGTGAAAAATGTCCGTCGATGTGTCGGGGAACTCTCTTTTGCATAGCCATTGCAGTCGTGTTCACCTGACCTGACCTATTTTCGGCTCTTTATTCGAACAATCTAACTGCATGTTTTCCTGCTCCTTCAGTGTTCAATCCCATAAGGATGACCGTGTCATTTTCTCTCTTCCGATAGAATTGCTCTTGTATTCGCCTTTCACGCTTCTTTTTCCTTTGCCGTGGTTTGCCGTTTTTTAAGTCTTGATTTACTTTCCCCCAAGCGTCATCTCACTCCGCTCAGGGTTGTAACGACGGGCTATTATTGCAGTTTCAATTTGGCGGTTCACTTGTGGTATTCCTGCCACTTGGTCTGACTCTTGCAGCCAGATGCCTATTCCGCTTCTACGGGAATAGTTTCCCTTCCTGTATGTGTTTCTTCGGACGTGGCACCCGTAGAGTTGTTCTGCGTGAAGGAGCATTGCTCTTGGCCTAACCTCTCGATAAATTACTTCAAGATCCCTCGGGTGAGAGGGCGTTGCCTAATATTTGGAAGTTGACTCAACTAACGCCAGTCTTCAAGGGAGGTCAACGAAGAAGATTGAATATCAACATGTCGGTGACTCTCTTATCCATACCTTTCAATGAAATAACGGGTTCTGGTATTGCCAGCTTGTCCACCTCAGTAGATAAGAGGACCTGTACTGTCGACCGTCGAGGCGAAGTGGGTTTGATTTGCCTAAACTTTTATAAAGTGCTCGATCGTGCTAGGCATGTCTGCCTTCGTGATAATCTAGGGCTTGTCGTGGTCCGCCCACCTCGGACAGACTCCTTGTCTTTGTATTTTCGCGGCCAGTCATTTTGTGTTCGAGTAAGCTATTCTATATACGGGGGGGATAGAAATCTCGAATGGAGTTCCTCAGAGTTCAGTAGTATGGTCTGCTCCTTTCTCAGTGTATGTAGGTGACTTGCCTCGGTAGGTTTATTCCGGAGTCCTCCCATTTGCGGACAATGTGAAACTATGGAGACAGACCATAAGTCATGAGGGAAGAGTTCCCGTAGAAGTAGATCAAGCCCAACTTCAAAACTGGGCGATGAATAATGGGTTTGCAGTCAACCCTGAGAAACGAAAAGCGACACACGCAAAACACGATTCCGGTCACGCATGTGGCCTCGGTGGCACGGATCTGGGGGCGTCACTGACAGGGAGTGGTTTGAGCGCTTTCGTCTCTCGAAACTTGAAGTCTTACGCCCACTGCGACCGGAATTTATTTTGCGCCAGTTCGGTGCCAGTGTCCCAGACAAACTTTTAGACACTCCGATCATGGGTGTTTTCGTCGGGTTTTCAACAGTTTCGCTCCGCCTCACCTTGACTTTTAGGCTGTAGTCTTCCATCACCCTCACTGCAGAAGGAAGATCAGCCTAGAAGGGATTCACAAGCGGCTGAATAAATCTGTCCATGGACTCGAGATCATAAAATGTGTAGGATGACCGTTGCTGCTTGATTAATATTCTCTGACACAGAAGGCTACCCTACTAGACTGTCCCACTCCACACTTTGATAGTGACATCTGAGGTTGTGATTCCGATTGAGACCTTTTAGGTATCTCTTAGGACATGTGGAGTGTGGTCGAACACAGTGACCTCATCCTGCCCGCAGATCGCAATTTTTAATGGGGCAGCTGGTGAGAAACACAATACTTACATACTCAGGAGACATCTGGAATTTATCCAGTACTTAATTCGGCGGGAATTAAAATGGGGTTCCAGATACCCTATTTTGCATCTGTCTAAATGCTCCAGCACACACCCACATCATCTTCGCATGTTTCTTCGACAGATGAGCACTCGGCGAAACTGGGAAGCCTCCATTCTTTTGAGAATGCTGCGCTTTGGGACACAACATATATTAAATGTGACACGCCTGACGGCATGCCACGTCTTTCCCCAGTAATTCAGATGGGAGACTGGTCTTCCATGAACCGCACGTTATGTCCCATCGCAATATTTTCTTGTGACAAATTAGTCTGCCGCGGATATTTCCGGATAAGTGTGTGCATTCGCCTCCAAGTGAGAAAGTACGATAGGAAGTTTGTTGAACGGTGTATAGCAACTAATTTCGAAAATAGAGTTTCCCTTCCTCTTTCGTTGTTGTCCATAGAATCTGAAGGTGACCACAACGCCTCCAGTTGAAGCAAAGGCGTTGTTGATAATGCATATTTTTTGAGTGAGTTCAGGAACACACGAACTGTTTTATGAAACCACCAGGTATTTTAACACAGATGATACCACATAATTGACGGTCCGGTAATGTCAGTGAAATAAATATCTGCTGGATTTGCGATGCAGGTTTATCAGAATTACAGCGATGGCACTACCATTTACAAAACTTACCGATGTGCCGTTATAAATTTTTTTTAGTTTTCTTGTAACTGGGTCTAGTGCCGTGATCATTTCAGGTAAGCGAAATTCTCCAGCTATAGTGTCGCAGAAACTAATGTATGGACACTACGCATAACACATATATCACGATTTGTTACATACAGCTTGAAGCAGCCCTTCTGCATCAGAATGGATACGATGGTACAAATACATGAGGAATACCATTTCAAACTGGGAAGG